ATACTGTCCAGAATAATAAATGTCCAGAGCTGGCATGGGACACTGTGGAGGAAGTACCATAAATTTCATGCCGAATCAGCTTAAGGAGGCAAGCTAAGGCCAAAGAATCACAGCTGTCATTTGGCTGTGGGAAAGAGTTCAGAGGTCCCTTCGACTGCTCATTCCCATGAACTCGAGGTTCTCAGAGGGGCACTCCAGGAGGTGATGCTCCATTTTCTGTAGTAAAGTGACCCAGAACATGACAGATTGCTAGTAGTTAGTCAACAGGTTATGATAAAAGTCCAAACCTGATTTATTTCTTTTGCCCAGGATTGGCTGTACTTTTACATCTGTTCAATTACACACAGACAGCTTAACAGATCTAACAGAAGCCACTCCAAACTATCAAATTGATTTTTCCCACTAATATTTTATTCCCTAAAAAATTCATAAAAATTATGAGACATAATTAAATATTTCAAGTTTCTAAAAAAAAGTGATCTCTACCAACAATTGTAATTTTTGTTTATGTGGGGCAAAACTCATTTTAGGATTTGAATTAATTAATTAAATTAAGGAGAAATTTCTTTTGTCATGGAACAATATGACTTAATCCAAATATGGAATATTGAGGATCGTCATGAGAATGGCCATATGCTGGGGTCCGGTATTACTGTCAAGATCTTTTCAGACTCCATGTTCATAAAAATGTGTGATCAGTTTAGGACTATCATGATTGGCAATTTGTAAAAAAACCTTTGGGGTGTTGTAAAATTTGATGATAATGAAAGAGAATGACAATAATAATAAAAGAAACAATAACAACTATAGAGTCTTAATGCATTCCAGGCACTCTTCTGAATGTTTTATATTTATTAATTAAAATTATTATAACAATTCTATAGCATAGGGTCTATTTTTATTTCCATTTTATAGGTGGTAAATTGAGGTTAAGTAATTTGCCCAAGGCCAAAAGCTAAGCTTTAATTACAAAAGTTATCTAGTAATAGTTATGATAAAGGAAATGGGTTTTGCTGTTATTCCGTCAGGAAAAGGACTTTTGAGAGGACACAGTTAATGAAGAAAGAAAGTTAAGATTTCTAGTTTTGCCACTAGATTTGCTGAATAGTTGATATCCTTTAGGCTAGATGACATAGTTGACAGAAAATAAAGAAAAAGTAACAAATACTTTTTCACATTTTTATTGCTTTTTTGTTAAGTCCTTTAGGTCTTGATATAGTATATCAAATATATAAACATACCCTTATTTACACCCTGTTTTGTGGCCCATTTTGCCATTTGATTCACCATTTTATAAAAGCCAGGCAATCTAGTAGAACCAGAATTATGTTGATTTGGGGAGGAATAGAAACCAGAAAGGTGCCAATTTCTCCAGGGCAATGTTGATTTATTTTGACTCTTGGCTTCCTATCAGCATACATTTTTGGTACCATCTCAGAAGTGGAACACCAGGAAAATGTTGACTTTTCAATGTTACTCACATGGAAGAGCATGTAAAAGAAGAAATTAGAGTGCAGTTTCTAGCAAATAGTTTGAAAATTTAAAATGAAAACAAACTTCTTGGTCTTTAAATTAGAACACTAGGGAGAGAATCAGTAACAACTGTGGTACTTCAGTTGTGATGTGCAGGGTTGATGTTGAATAGTTAAAAAACTGTCATTGAGTTTTTTTACATGCTAACTAATTAATGATAATGAATCTTATTTTTTCTTTGTACATTTTGAACATATTTCAAGATGAATAGTCAGAATACTTTGTGGGCATATATGTGCTAATCTTGGCATCTGAAATAATTCCTCTCTTGTTCTATAAAACCCAGTATAGGAAACACTCTTCTCTTTAAGCCAATAACTGGGTTGATTCATATGCTGGCTCTTATAATTTTTATTTAATTCCTCCATCATATGACACTTTATTTTTCCTCATAATCATCAATAATGCCTGCATTAACTCAGTACTGTGAGACAAAAAAATAAAAAATAAAGTGAAGAAACTTCTGTACTCCCTACTGGCTAATTATTTTAGAATTTAAGTAAATGTTGGCTATATTGTGTCAACCACACATGGTGAACATTATTACTGTCTCCCCAAAGCTAAGAAGCTACTTTTTGTATTTTATTTGTTTGTTTATTTGTATTTTTATATTTATGTCTCTTGCTAAACAGTCCTTGGAACAGCAAATAGTCAATTGATATTTTGGGAAAGTGTTTATTTAGAATGTCATGGGGCTGTTTTTGCTGTATTCTATACACACATTGTATATATGGTTGGGAATATATGTGCCTTTCTAATTTCAAAAACCACTTATGGGGGTGTGGGTACCACGGGCAGAGTTTTGGAATTCAGATGAGTAGATAGACAACCAAAATCATCAATTCTGTACTTTTTCTCTGTGTCAGTGCTGTGCACATATTTATGGTAGAGGTGACATGACTACATTTATTAAGATACAGAAAGCTTTTATTTTCCTGGACTTCTCCAATAAAACCACAATGATACCTTAGAAGGAGACAGCCCCCTCGCCCTCACCTCAGCTGCTCTTTTATTCACCACAGTCCGGGACACCCTTGATCCCTTCTGCTCATTAAGAAAAAGGTTTCATTGTCCTTGTTTACTTATCTTTTGAAAAGCCATTAAAGAACTTTGCTAAAATAAACAAACCCGAAAGCTAGTCTATAAACACCTCAAAAACATTATGGACCATCTTGGTAAAACAGGTTAAACAAAACTATATTTGGTGTTGAGACTGATACTGTGACATAGAAAAAATACCATTTTAATATTTTGAGGTTGTTGTGTAATAAAGGGTTAAAGGAAAGAAGGAAAGAGTCACCAAAGTTAGGCAGAAGCCAGAGAAAAACAGTTCAGACAGTAATTGCTAGGTTCCTTTTCCTTTCTACTAGCAGGGACATTAAAACTTCAAATGGACCCAAAGAACTTACCTAATCTTTTGCCTCTTGGCTTCTGAGGCCAAATACTTCTAAATCTTTACAAGTCACACACTGCACACAACTCTGTCAGTTGGTCTCTGAAGTTGGCTGGTATATTATTTATTTATTTATTTTATTACAATTCTGCATCCTGAAGATAAACCACTATCATCCTCATAATTAGTAAACATTTTAAAATAGAGGGAAGCAAAGATCAGTTATTGACAAATATGGCACATTAAAGGGAATAACATGCATATGTAGGCTATAGTGATTTCCATGACTTAATTAAAACTAGTAGAATAAAACTGGAAAATTAAGGACATTGCTAAGAAAAAGAAACTAAAAGTGAAAAAATGTAGCAATAAGATAACTGTGATGGTGTTAATAATTAAAACCTATTAATAAGTCCCTGCAAATCAGGACATTAGGATCAGTGGTTGGAGACTAAATGATCTCCACTCTTGCTTAGCAAGAGGTGGTGGGAGCTAATAGTACTTACAAATTTTGGAGGTGGGTATAATGTTCATATTGACTAGAAATACAGTGTTTTTAAGAATACTTTTGCATTTAGTAACATCTTTTAACATAAAAAGCATTTGATGACATTAATTATAACAGTCTCATCCATTGGTTTAAAAAGATCCAATAAGGGAGCTGAGTAGGTATTTGTTAAAACAAGAAACATGCCCTTTCAGATTTAGATTTTGCTACATAGAATAATCATTTAGTCGCTAGGGTAAGATTAGATGTTTTTTAAGAATAATTTTGATAATTCTGTAGGAAAGGTACTTAATCCAAATGCTGTTAATTTTAGATGAAAAGCTATCTGAAACACGAGGAGCTATACTTATCATCTTTTATGTACTTATCTTACTATTTCATATTTAAACAATCTTTTATTGCTTATACTATAAAACTAGAGGGGCCTGGTGCATGAAATTTGTGCACTCGGGGAGGGGGAGTCCCTCAGCCTGGATTGCGAAAGGACACAGGTCAGGCCAAGGGACCCCACTGGTGCACGATTGGGGCTGGGGCGGGATGCAGGAGGTTGGCCAGCTGGGGAATGGACTGTGGGAGGGCTGCAGGGCGTGTCTGACCCATCTCGCTCAGTCCTGATCTATCAGATGGACCCCGGCAGCAAGCTAACCTACTGGTCACAGCATCTGCCCCCTGATGTTCAGTGCACATCATAGTGAGCGGTTGAGCAGCCTTAGCATATCATTAGCATATTATGCTTTGATTGGTTGAATGGCTGACCGAACAACTGGACACAGCATATTAGTCTTTTATTATATAGGATATCCCCTGATTAAAAAAATGCCTTCACTTTAGGTAAGTTCTGGTAACCCACTGCCATCGGACCAGCCAGATGTCTTCACTTTAGAAAAATTGAAAAATAAAGGACAGAGAAAATAATGTAAAAGTCACCTGTTATACCCCCATTAGAATAATCACCTTTCTTACTTGTGAACATTTTAGTGTTATTCCTTTCCTTTATATGTATGTGCGTGTACATAGTCCACCCTACATCACATATGACAGCTGTTCTTTTAAACTATAAAGCATTCTCAGACATTTCTTACATTTTCTTGTCTTACTAAATAAATCTAGCAAGAACAGTTAAAAATAATGATTTGCACAAGTAGAAGATCGTCTACTGTTTTTAGGTGGAATTGTAGCACTGCAGAAAAGTCAAGGTGGCTAATCTGAAATTATCCTTCAGTAGACTAACCACATAGACAAGCACCCTATAAAACTGAAGAGTTGAAAAGTTTATATTTTTAGGTCAACCTGCATAAACTGTATATTGTGTTGGATTATTTTGTCATCCTCACACACTATTAATAAGGTGTTTCTTCTTCCTCCTTCCTGTGGTGTGGTGCCATTTACTTCTTTGATTCTCTAAGTATAGAAGACTCTTGAGATTATAGTAAGAATGGGCTGCAGTGGATAGAGCTAAGAATAAACTAGTGCAAAACTGATTTTCTAAAGTAACAAAGGTCCCACTAATCGGTATAGTCAGTGCGTAACTATTTTTCATTTTTGTCTGTCTTTTTTTTTTGTTAGCACAAATCATTGCTTATGAAAATGAAGTTTTCTATCATCAGTACTAGTACTACATAACTTCTGGTAAAAAATGTGCCCAGTGAGTTTCTGAGTAATCTCTGTATATGTATATAGGGATCTGAAAGAAAGTCAGGAATATGTTGATTACGTGGGACAAGAAAGCCACACTCACTCACATGTTAAATCAACCCTGAAAATGAGGTTAAGCCATCTGAGGTTTAATAGAAGGAAGGTTTGTTTCATTCCCACAAAGTCTGATCCGCTTCAGGGGAAACTCAGGGATGCAGGCTGTTTATGACTGTGGCTTTATTACTTTAGCATATGGTCTCCAAGGTTGCCACAGAAAAAGGAGAGACAGAGAAGGCACACAAGTTTTGATTGTAGCTGTCTCAGTCTGCCAGTGACACGCACCCATTCTTCTCTTAGTACATTTGCCAGATTAGTCACATAGCTTCAACTTAATTGCAAGAGAGGTTAGGAAATTTTTCAGGTTATATCAGTCAGGAGTCTACTAGAGAAGCAAAGTCAGTAGAAAATATACATGTTAAGAGAATTACTATAAAGAATTGTTTCGCACAATTGTTTGGCTGGATAGGCAAATCTGAAATCCAGAGGGGGCCCCGGATGAAGGGGGAATCATGAGTGGACTGGAGCTGACTCCCAGGCAGAGGCTGAGCTGTTATCCACAGGAAAATGTTCTTTCTGTCTGAGGGAAGGCTTAGCTCTGCTTTTAAGATCTGTCACCCGACTGAAACAGGTCTACCCGAGTTATCCAGGATAATCTCCCTTACTTAAAATCAACTGATTATGGCCTTTTAATAACATCTGCACACTCCCTTCACAGCAATGACTGGCCTAGTCTTAGATTGAATTACTGTCGCTAGCCAAGTTGACACATGAAAAAAACCCACACATTTCAAGAGAGCCTGTGGAGTGATAGGTGAGCTCTACTGGTCTCTGCCAGAACATGAGATCATTAACCTGGTCTCAAGCATCACTCATTAACAGCTACAACAAAAAGAGCTGTGTGAGGAATAATCATATCAATGGTCCTGTGAGTTGATGTGTGAGAAGGAAGAGAAACATCACTTATAATTATATAATATTTACATTTCAACATCTAGGATGAATTCAAAAAATATTGAAGACATTTAATCTAGAAAAATTTTACCCAGTTGTTAGAGACTTGTCAAGAACCAGCAAAACACCACATCACACTAATTTATCCCAGCAGAGGTTGTTTTGATATTTTAAGTGTGATATTAAATACAATTTTATGCATGTTGTCCTTGTTTCTCCACTCCAACTATTTTGCTAAGCTATGCTATTGTTATCACCTAAGCGTCTCATGCATATTTGTTAAATTATTATTAATCAGTCGAAACTGGCCTGTGCCTTTAATCTTAATGCTACAGAACTTAGATTTTACTTGAAGTTTAAATGCTGTCTCTTAATTATCTTCCTTCCTTTTTTTTTTTTGCCTCTTGGCATTGACTTTGTGTTCCTCTCTTGCTTCTCATTAACAGCCCACTGAGCCGCATCATCTTCTCACAGTGACAACGGCAGGGCAAGATAGCTTCAGTTGAGTAACTCACATTACTACCAATCAGTTGGTCCTCCCCTCTGCCCAAGTCACAGCTTCCATCACTGTTGTCAGTGTCACCTGCTAATGGCTGCTGATGTTTCACCTGTCTGCCTGTGCTCTGAAAATAATATTTGCCAAGAGTTGGCCAGACACTAAAGTGGACGGAATCAAGCAAGTCTTCCATCTGCTGCCTGCATGTGCTGTCTGTATTCACTCTGTGTATTACCTGAGCAGACAAAAAGACTTACTTCCAGACATCAGTTCCACCAGGTGAGGAGCCAAAAGCAAGCCCTTTTTGGCTAGGTTGTGCTAAACTTTTCTCTGTTGGAAATTGCTCTTTGCCAATTAGGCAATACGTCAGAACTAAAAGCTGCAGGAGACAGACAAAGCGATGCAGAATTAATGAACTTTTTTGTGCCAAGGTACAAAAATAATATTTGGGTAGTAAACATTTTTGTTTTAAGGTCAAAGTTATTCCACCTTGGGACCGCTATTAGATTAGCAAGTGATTTATCAGTCACAGACTGTGCTGCCTTAGGGGGTCTTAAAGTGAAGAGGCTGTACTCACTAAACCAAAATGTATACTTTTCCTTTATTATCTACTGGGTCAAGATCTCACATTATTGTGACATACCTGAATATGGATTTTTATTGCAGAATATCATTAAGACATGGTCTATTGAGTAAGCAATATGCGCTTTTAAAATTGTCTAAACACCTCTTTACATGCCAACTCTGGCGATAATTACCAAATGTCTATATCAAGAAAAACAGGCAATTCAGAAATATTAACTTGTGCTATTATTTATGATACACATGTGCTAGTTTCCCCTAAATATAGACATTTGGTAATTATCACTGGGACTATTTGTTACAATTCCAAAGTAGTTACTGATGAAATAGAAATATATACTTTTTGGGTAAAAATTTAAACGCTGAGAAATTCTCATTATCTTTTGCAGAGTTCAGTTCTCAGTTTCCTATTCATATTTCATGTAATAATTTGGATTAGCCATCTGGTTTGTTGAGGGTTGAAAATCTGTTTAACACCAACGCAGAATTTTTGTTAAAAAATATAACAAGTCACAAAGAAATCACAAATGTTTTTCAGGTATTTCACAATGCTAATAATGAGTAACTTTGAGAAGATGGGTTGTAAATTTGCACTTTTATTTTTTGCACCTTCCTTTTATTTCAGTTGTGCAATTTAGATTCACCTGCAGCATGCTTTTGAAACCTATTTTGCAGGGATGTGTCATTTGAATAGTTGAAACAGCATTTTTGACAAAAAATTTATGTTGGTCCACCCACATTATTCTAGTACCATTTTTTCCTTTGTCCAAATGGTTGTTAGCTCAATGGATTAGATAGAGCATTTTCTCAATGACTCCAGTCTATATCCCTGAGATTGAATTACCTCCTCTCTACCCCATGCCTACAATAGAGTCCAACCCTCTGTTACTCATCCTGGAGCCATCGGGAGATTGGGATTTATCAATACAGATATATCACTTCATGTGTGCAAAAAGTGTGCTATACATAAAAAAATGGGTCTGTAGTGTTATTCTTACAATAGGTAGAACATTCTCACTATTGATTTGCCTTCCATCTATGGCAGGAAACAGGCTGCTACCTGTGGAGGTGGGTGTCTGTGACTCCAGCCCAAATGATTGACCCACACACAGCAAAAATGTATTCTGATGTATCCTGCTGAAAGATTTTTTGCAGTCATGCATCATACCCAAGGTGTTAAAACAGCTGGATAAAGCATTCAACCCATCCATGTATCAATCACGCGAATGTGGGTTGACATATCTCTGGTATTGGACTCTGAAGACTAGACTTTGGCTCCCACAGCTCATCTGAATATGCTGTTAGAAAATGTTCTTTGAAAGGAAAGAATATTCAGTCCCATTTAATACAGAAGGAATTTAATTTTCCTTCAAACACCACCTGTTAGAAGTGCAGCTTTGAAGGGAAACACTTAATGGAATTGGAGAAGGATCATCTCTGTTCCTGTCAGAACTGGACCCAAAGTTGAGTAAGATAAACACAATGAGCATGTTCTAATGCTCAGAGCAACAACTGGGAGGGGGCAGTGAGTTGGCTTTTCACAAGGTTTCATTTTGACAGGAAGAGGGATGGTCAGTTTTTCTACATGATCTCTCATGCAATCATCTAACCTCTCACAAGAAGGCCAGGAACTGCTTCTTCCCTGACCGAAGTACTCTAAGTTGTAAGGGTGCAAGCTTTTAAAAAATGTAGGTATCCACTGCATTCAAAAAGAGATTCAAAATACAAACCTAGGTACCTGTCAGTCTTCTGAATTCTTTTTCTTTTGTCCTTCCTTAAACTTTTTAATCTGGAAAGGAATGAGAAATAATCCATATATTACTCACAGGACAAAGCTTATAGTGCTCTCAGTAACAATTCATTTTTGTTGGCTTTGTTGTTCATTTGTCTAAGGTGGGAAATGATATAAATGAGTTAAAAGGCTGATAACAGGATATATATGCAGACTAAGCATTTCTACCCAAAGCTACACACAGGTACTGAGATGTTGCAGAAAACACTGAGCAATTAGCACTAAATTAGTTTATTGCTGTAGGTAAAGACACATCAAAGTGTTATTGGCATGTCAAATTCACACAGTCCAGTATAGAGAAATACCATGGGACAGCGTTGGTCATATCAGAGAGAAATAGTCTACTCAAAGATCTATAGAATTTTCATATTCAAATCTCTTTTCACAAGAAAAATGATTCATTTTCATTGCTTTTGTTGGAAATAATTATTATCACTAATTGATTAGGAATAGGAAGATGAAAGTAGTTATGAGTGATAAGATCAAGGGTTATAAAATCTCAGGTACTTCTTAAATCCTTGGCAATGTATCTGAAATGAGTTCTGCTCTTCATTCTTGTCTATTTTTTCCAAGGGATTTGACGTGGATAATTTTTGCATTTGCTTCTAGCATTCTCTTGCTTAATGATGGAAGAATTACAGTAGAAAGGGATGAAAATGTGTGGGTGGGAAGCTGAATGCATGTGTGTTCTCAAGTTAAGATAATTGTACTTTGGAACAGTGTAACATACTTTTATGAGTCCATTAATATTGGAATATTAATTTCAAGGCTGGATTTAAAAATATGGGTTTAAGGGCAGTGATTCGGTGGTTTTTGTCCTCCAGATGTTCTCTTGCTTATTATATCTGTTTTCTACCTTCTTTGCTATTCTTGAGAGGGTACACAGAAGATACTCTGTAGACATTGGCTTATATTGGTGCAAAAGGCAGTAAGACTATTGTTTTCAGATTTACACTTTAGGTCACTCTGTTACCAAATCTAGGGTGCTTAATTTTGTGTACTTCTCCAGTGTGACTCTAGTAGGTATCATTTTTCTATCTGTAATGTCTACATTCAGTTGGTTCTCTGGGGGCAGGAGATCCTTAGCAATGTAGATGTCCCTCTGGTTCTGCCAGGTTAAGTACAGGCAGTCGGCTATTGAGATTCTAGCAAGGAGCAATCCTAGAAGGATCTGTATGACAAAATACACTTTTAAAACCCATTCTATTTATAATCTGTAATTCTTCGTCTCAGGGCTGTTAGACACTGCCCATTTTCTGAAAGCTGTCCTTTTGAGTGCTGATGTTAGAAGCAAAGTCTCAGAGCATCACAGAAGTCACTCTGTTCCCCAGCTGCAAGCTTTAGGGGTAGTTTCAATGTCATGCCAATTGCAAAGCTGCACTAGCTACTGCAGGCTGTGGCTAATTCCAAACACTGAATAGGATTGGGAATCCCATTTGGTGTGATTATACTATTAAGCCACAATTGTCTAGTTTCACACACTCCTGTGTTTAGTATTTGTATTGAGAATAATAAAAATCACAATTCTTCTTTCACCAGAAATGCAGAGATCTTTAAAATCATCTCATTACAGGTCTCTGTGAGGTTTTCCTAGAAAGTACCTTTACCTGGGTTTCCCCAGTTGACAACACTGATCTTCACAGAATCAAAACCTGAGACAAATTCCCATAGCCTGAGTTTTAACTCTGGGTTAGGGTCATTCCTCTTAGAGCAACTAAGGGAAAACTAGATAAAAATATAATTGCATAATCCTTTTATTCTAATATTATAACTTTTATATTTCCTTTTCTCAAAAGAAATATAGTCTCTTTTATTAAGGCTATTTGAGTGTTAAAACTGAAATCTTAGCATATTCTTAAAGCAATAGCTAAATTTTAACCTAACCTTGCATAATACCAATGTATTGTTTTAATCATGTTCTTCAACGTTATTCTGCTCCTCTCCATTTTAGAAATCAACTTCTATATAGTCATGATTGGAATGGTCAATGGTTAGAGCTTCTCAGGCAAGTTATAATACAACATAAAGAGACGTGGCCTGGTCTGACCAAATTCTCAGAATGCTCTTTACCTGAGACGGCATCTTTAGAATGAGTGCCATTAATGCCTAGAATTAGGAACCTCAAGAGGCAGCCCCCACTAGATAGGGATTCTGCTCCCAAGGTGCTGCATGATTATGTTGTGAGAAATTTGCAGAGAGGTTTATTTTGGGCTGGATGAAATTAGCATTATTGTTTACAAGAATACCATCTCACTGATCAAGTTAAAGTACATGCCTAATAACTAGCATTTCTTAGGCTTTTATGTTGCCCTTAATTAGACTCTTCAAAGTTAATTAGGGGAACAAATGGTACTTTTTGTTCTTTTAAGTCCCCTTTAACAGCTTTCTCACACTTAAAATGTTCCAACATTTATAGGTAGCTTGACTTCTGTTTTAAACCTACTGGTTAACTGTTCATTGGTTAGCTTCTCCTTCATTCAGAGTGCAATCCACTCTGTTTTTCTTAGGTGTCTTTGATTCACCCCTCCCTCCAGTTTTCAACAGTTAATATGGTTTATTTTTAGATTCAAAATTATTCATTAAATTTTTTGTTCCTGTTTGAGGAAAGTGTTTTGCTCAAGGCTCAGTAACTGGCGAAACACAATGCGTGGAGCAGAGCACATGCGGGGAGACTAGGACAGTTTTGCCTTAGAAAATTGCACAGAAAAATCGAGTTTCCGAACTCCCACCCTTGGGTGTGGGTTAGTGCTGGCAGTGTGAGCTAAAACACTGTTTTCAAAATGATTGGCCTCATTTTCATACCTATCATACATTTGAATATTTTTCTAAAAAATATTTTTCTTTATTTTTAATAAAGGGCTTATTGAATATAGAAAGCTGGCACTCAACATAAGAAACTAATCCC